TATATATATATATATATATATATATATATATATATACATATGTATATATCATTAGAAAGGTATCGATGATGCGGTCGTTATAAGACTAGTATCGAGTACTTTCGACATTAGTTTAGTACAAATATCATTAAAACTATTTAAAATAGTATTATAAAGGGGTGTTTAGTCGTTTATATAACTATAAGGCCATTAAGTAACTATAGATGGTAGTTTTTGAAAATTCAATCACTATAAATAAGAGCCTATAGCTCTCATATTTCTTGCACCATTCTCTTGATTCAATAGTCTTTTCTTTCTTATCCCCCGAGCATTTCGGTCCCTTGTGATTCGACTTCTCTTTCTATAGTTTTAGTATAGTAAGGTGAGCGCTGAAGCGCTGCAAGAATCTTCCTTAGAAAGATTCAGCGACGAAGTTCTGCCCCTACAGAGTCCGACTCCTAGCTAAGTAAGTTATGCTACCCTACTTTAAAAATAGCTTATAATATCGTTATTATGAACCTATAAATAAAATTTATTAGTGATTCAAAGTCGTTATACTGATTGAACTACTTACGGGTGAGGTGTCTAGAATGGTCACATTAGGTTTGGTTGTTGGATTTCAGAAAAGCTATATGCCGAAATGGTCCTGCCTCCCAACTGTCCTGCCTGGCTGATCCTTACTTGATAGATCATGAAGTAGTCTCTGAGTTAATGACGTATCTAAACTAATAATTAGTCACAATAAATATTAGACTAAAATCTAGTGGTAATAATACTAGGTTTCGTTGAAGGAAATCATATCGTTAAGAAGCGAAGCGCTGCTCGAATTTTGAGTCGTCACTGTAACAAGTGAGTGCATAGTCACTTTCATCTTACACATAGATATGAAGTATTTTATATTAATTACGTGCTATGTGTACATATTATCTGTTTACTTGATATCTATGTTGGATGAACATTTTTATACAAGTTTTAAATTATTTAAATTGTATATGTATTTTATATTTACAAAAATGTTGGGGTAAAACATGGGTAGATGAAATAGACGATGTGCGATAAAATGATGAGAGGCCTCGATGTTGACGATGTTTTCAGTCATATAGCGGAGTATAGATGACGACCACATACTTTTCTAGACAGTCCATTAGAACGCTAGCATGCTTGCAACCTGTAGGTGTTTGTGAACGATGTGTTCACTGGTGTACTCCACCCCCCTCATGGTTTCCTTTAGGACATTTATTGCTGAGGAACCCCCTTAGCAGTAGTGTCCATCCCGATGATGATCATTAGGCTAGATCCCTTATGATATGTGTTTTAGGGACGTAAAGTGAGGATAACAGGAATGAGTAATCGGGTTATTGTTGGTTGATGAAATTAATCAACTTATTTATTGTGGGTTGAAAACCCTATGTGCTCACCAGGCTCCCAAGCCTGACCCACTCAGTTTCTTGTATTACAGGTAGTGGCACTCGAGCATAGATGTGATGTTTGGATGAGGGATTACAGATTATAGGCCTGTAGGTATGAATAAATGTTGTAAGACTTATATTGTACTGTTTATGCTTTTGATCTGTATCGAACATGACATCCCGTGGTTTTTAATGAAATACATTTCTTCAGAAATGCTTCGATAAATCTTTATCATATTTTATTTTGGGAACAAATTCCGCAACACTTTTATTTAAAATGTTACTTTGATTTTCAAACAAAGCATAAACAAAATTGGTCTTTTCTGGCCGTGAAAATGGGGATGTCAGATAAATAGCCAGTTTTAGACCATTTGTTAGCCACTTAATTTTTGCCTCTTAATACTCTAAAACCCTTTTAATATTTCAGACATGAGATTGTATCTGAAAAAGAAAAAGGACGTGTGTGTTCCTATTTTTCCATACGCGACTTCTGTTTTCTCTTTTTTGTTTCATACGTCGACCCTTTTCCCTCCTAGCACACTCCGACTACCTGCAATCTTTCGACAAACGTTCTGCCTCAGTCATCTGGTGCCATCGTTTCCCTTCGTATCTTCGACGCCACCCTCCCATACGTCAGGTGCTAGCCTCCCACACCTCTAGCGCCACTGTCGCATACCAGAGGTCACCTTCAGGTATGTAGCATTCTTCAATTTTTACCTTTCTCTCTCCTCAAATACGATGAAATCGACAATTTCATGTTGAAATCAATGCTTTCTTGCTGAAATCGTATCAAATCTGTAATTGTTGTTGATATCTGGTGATTTTTTTGTTAAAATCTTTGATCCACCGTTCTATTTTGCTTGAATTGTTTTCAGGAATTTTTGATTGTCAAAATGACAATCAATATGTTTTTTCTGATGGAGAGAGCCAATCGATTTCAATTCTTGGAGTTGAGCTGAAATCAATATGTTTTTTCTGATGCAGAGAGCCAATCGATTTCAATTCCTAGAGTTGAGCTTATGTTTATTTTTAAGGGATTTCAGATTAATTTGATGATGTTTTGAGTTGTTTGGTATATATCGTTAGTAACACACACTAATACACATTTTATTTGAAGAAGTGTAAACAATATTAATTGTATATAATTTATGGAATTTATAGGAGATATTATTGAACTACAAACAAAGAATTATACTTTTGAAAAATCATGTAGTAGTAGTTCCAACCATGGCTCATCTGTTACAATAGTCCAAGAAAAGGGAAGTAGGGACAAAAGATGTATGTTATCAATAGAGTTAACAGAATTGTCAAAGTTCGTTGTCATTTATGGTGGTTTGGTGTTTGGATGCCTCATGGTAAAAGTAATGATATTAATAGTGGTTATTGTTGTGGTTAGGTTTGGTTTTTATTTAATTATTTGGTTTCGTTATTTGATAAACATAAACATTGAGTTCAAGAAAAAATAACACATAAGGGTAAAATGGTATTTTTTATAATTCAACACAACAATTCAGAGGTTCCAAGCAAGCAACATGTTAAAAGTTCAGATCTTAGGAACTCAGACCCTCTTAGAAATTCAGACCTCTTTAAAATTCAGATCTTGCCTAATAGCTCCTTACTGTAACAACCCAGAAAACAGTGATAATTTTTTTTTCATTTGAAAGACCAACAATTTCATTCATTACTTGTTTAAAAAACCATCACCAAGTATAATATCAAAATATCATGGTACAATTATTTAATATGCGGAAATCATGAGGGGAGGATGTTGTGTCATCACGTCAGGCCCTTCACTTTCGAACCGGAAGTACCTAAAACCACAAACATAAAGTGTAAGCATAAATCTTAGTGAGTTCCCCAAAGTACCACATACCAATCATACAATATAGCTTAACCCTAGGTGTGTTCCAACCCGATACATATATATGGGTCCAGCCCTAGGGCCCTGTCCTCGGTTGTATTTCAACCCAATCAACACATATAGGCCCCGTCCTGACCGGGGTTTACTTTAACCCAAACATACGATAGTGGGCCCCAACATGGGGTTTATTTCAACTTGAACATGTAAACACACATAAGCCACATAACAACTATCATCCTACATAACACAATAATGGGAAGGCATTGGTGCCTTCGACCCATGGATGTAGTGAGAAAAGTCACCTCACAGTCGGATGAAAAAGCTGAATAATACGTTGCTCCAAAAACCAACTCTACCGGTCCCCTTTACAAATAACAGTGACCAAAACTCAGACTACGTCTCAAAATACCCAAAATAGCCTTAGGTCAAACTTGGTCAAAATTCAGGTCAAAGTCAAAAGTCAATAGGGTCAACTCAGTGAGTACGTTACGTTGGGTGTACTCAACCTGTACACGGGGCGTGCTACATGTTTGACCAAGGATCGCGATGTTGACCACATACGCGCAACGTACCCTTTGGTACGCCCAACGTACACGTCTGCCAACCCTCCATTCTATTAAGAGCTTAATCCCTTAAGCCCTTTCGTCCAAAACCCAGATCTAGTCCTCAAAAGATGTCCTTAATCATAAAGTTTCCAACTTTATGATTTAGCATGGCTATTAAGTGCCCAGATCTAAAAACCCTAACTTCTTAACTCATTAAGACAACCTAGATCATGCTTGGAAGGAAACTAATGCCCAAGATCATAATTTTATGACTTATCACACCCTAAAACATCTAAATGGACAACTCAAAGGTCATGGAGTATTCCATACTCACAAGGATCAAGATTTGGGACGAAAATGTGCAACTTTTAAGCTAGAACAAGATCTAAAGGAATACTCACCAAGGTTGGAGCTTTATACCTCCAGAAGATGCACAAGGGAGAGTAGTTGCTGGATCCAAAGGCTTGAGTGAAACACCACCACACCAAGAGTCGTCCTTCACCACCAAGAGCACCAAAATGACACTCCAAAGCTTCAAAACACACTCACACATTTTAGGGTTTCGAAATGGGGGCTAAGAAGGATGGAGGTTGGAGTTAAGAAAGGGTATGGCGCTATAATGATGCTTAAATAGAGTCAAAACCCTAAAAAATAGGGTTTGCACCCTGGCCACGTACGCCCTGCATACGCAACGTACACCCAATGTACGCATGCATGCCTCAAAATTACAAAAATGTCACTCGGGACTAATTTTGCAAACAATACTCAAACCAAGGGTCAAAATGTGATACCTGGAAATCAAGATGTTACACTTACCCTAACAAATGATGTTTTAAATAAATATTTCAAACTTTTAGTTGAATCTAAAATCCAAGCACCACTTTGAGAGACATTTCTAAGGTTTGAAAAGGTATGAGAGTCACCATTTGTACTCTATCCATAAAAAGCCTTGAATATAATAACATTTGGGATAATTTCAAGCTCAAGTAAAGTAACTCAAACACCAACATACGGTTGATGACATTTGGTTCAAGTGAATCATATGAATATGGTAATATCCAAGCACATTTTGAACGAAATAATTTGTGGGTAACCTCAACCCAAACGATCGTGCACCCACTTGTCAAGGGAAGCACGAAAAGTACTATTGTATAGGGTACTTTGTACCGTACACCTTGTACTACACAAAAAATTCAAAACATGTTTGACGCCACCAACCTTATAAATACCATACGTCAACAAATGTTTAAGGAAAGCAAATACTCATTCTTTCGACTAGTCCTTTTCGTCAAGTGCGAGAGTGTGATCAAGAGGCCACACCTCGAATTACGACAAATACTTATATATGTTTTTGCGGGTGATTCAAGGTTCTTAGACAAGGAAATCATACGACCCACTCGAACACTCATCCTTGAGTCCAATCTTTGAGTCCAATGAAGTGGCGTTTCATCAATGTGAAAGTGAAACTATACAAATGTGGCATTTGACCTTCAATGTAATGCATATACACTAAGATATAACATATACCCTAGTGTTGCCATGTTGACAAATAATGACAAACACTTATGCGATGTTAACATATGATGGACATGTTAACATGATTGATACAAGAGAGTTGAATTTTCTTCTCTTTACACACCAACCTTATTTGCGATTATAAGAAAACTCCCTTGGGTTCTTCTTACTTCACCAATATCGATTCTCATAATCATTTGCCTGATATTTATATCATAATTTCGTGTACCATAGATAATCATTCATCATGGCATCATCTCGGACCCATTCAAAGCTCGATTTTCTGCGGGTTTTACTGGTAGAGCGTGAAATTCTTTTTCCTTTCCGTAGGGACCACGAGATTGGTTTCCCTTATTTATCATATTCATCAGTGTTATTGTGAAGTTGTATTAAACCGAACGAGAATCATTATAAGTGTCTTAAGTTTTTTTAATAATATAAGTTCAAATGAATTTACACACCCACACTATAATAACATATATGGCGACAAAATTTGGCAAGAAATCAAACACTACATGCTCTCAACATTGCATGGTCCAAAAGTTGACTTCAAGCCAACAACCGTAAACGTGCTCTCAAGTCTCAATATTACATGCGTAATTAAGTCAAAACGTTGACTTCCATGCAACCCTCAACCCACATAAATTCCACCAATTCGTTTCCAGAAGCTTCAACAAATTCAAAATGGATCAACGTCCTCGATCCAGCAGCCGTCTCCACCATCCATCACCAGCCGGAAAACAACCATTGCCCCGTCTGATACGTAGCAAAAGCGAAAATCCAGCCATATCTCCGCCGCCCACCACCACATTATCCAACAGATCAAACACAGTCTCCAAATCGCGCTCAACATCCACTTCAAAAACGAGAAATTATAAGGAGATGGAAGTAAACAGTTTCATGATTAACCTCCCGAAGCCGATGAAGATCAATACCGGAGTCACTAATCCGGCTGTTAAAAAAAAGAAGTCTTCAGACGCCGATAGCAATGGAGGAGACGGAACGTTTACCCGGTTTCTGCCACGAAAAAAACCCACATCTCCTTCCGCATGGGCTTTATCTCCGGGGAGGGCTCCGCCTATTTTGACCGCGGTGGTGCCGCCAAAGACGCCAAGTACAGGTGGCAGGAGCAGCGGTGAGGGTGGCGGCGGCGGTGGTGGTAGAATCAGCGGAGTTTTAAAGTACTTTAAGCAAAAGAAAGTTGCGTCATCGGAAGAAGCAGATCGGCATTGTTCAAAACTGATGAACAATCGGTTATTGCAATGGCGGTTTGCAAATGCTCGAGCTCAGGCTGCCATGTCCACCGTGAAAAGCGTGGCAGAGGTATTTTCATGAACAAGAAAGATCAAAGATACATGATCAAGTATGAATTTAGTGATCTTATGTTTGTAGTTGTATTTTTATGCAGAAGAAAACGTTCAATGCATGGCTCAAGATACTTGCGATAAGAAATTCGAACATGGTAAAGCGGATGGAAGTAGAAAAACTCGAAAGAGACATCAGATTGTATCATATTATGAACTCACAGTTATTCTTGTTAGAAAAATGGCCGAAATTGGAGGCTAAAAACTCTGAAGCTGTAGGTCGAGTGGCTAGAAAATTGTCTGTAGCATCTTTCAATATCCCATTGGTTGATGATTCTAAGGTATACTTAATTTCATTTCAATTATATTTCTCCTAAGTTTTTAAAATATTATTTAAACATTTTTATCATGTTGTATACATAGGGAGAAATTTTAATGGTTCGTGACGCGTTGGACAACGCCACAAGACTCTTGGAAGATATAGAATCAACAATCCCAAAATTAAATTGTCAGGTAAAAAAAACATAAAATAAAATTTCTACATATTTTATTTTTCTATTTCATCATCTTGCCTATTTAATTATTGATATGTGTAATGCACCTTTCTTTTTTCTGTCATCTCATCTATTTATTTTGATATTTGTCATGATCCAATAGTAGAAGGACAAGTAAGAAGATTTAGAAAGAGAATATTGAACAATTAAAAAAAACAAGTTGAAATACAATTATATTGTTATAATTTTTATTAGCATGTCACATGGTTTTTTAATATATAGGTGGAGAATTCATGTTATTTGTTAACCGAACTTTCAATTATCGCAAAAGAAGAAAAAGAGTCTTTGGCAGAGCTACAAAGATGGATGCGTGTCGTCATGACACTTAAGGTGAACTATTTTCGTTTTTTTTTTATACTTAAATTGTGCGTATGTTTGCACATAATGAAAATAATTTAAGAAATACTTTTATTTACTAAATGTTTTTTTTATTTGAAGATACAGGAAAAAGAAAGAAGTTTGCGAGCTCATTTAATCCAAGTGAAGTGAAGATTCTAGTACATTTAGTGAAGTAGCAATCAAGTTGAATGATATTTTGATGAGTTGATCTTGAGTATAGACCTTACACTATCGAATCATGAGTTACTTGACTTTTATCGACTAATGTCAATTTGGATTTTTGATCTTTATGTGGACTTCTCACCAAAGCAATAATGTCTAAAAATATTTTAAAAATAAAACATATACGTGGAAGGAAAACTTAAATAAAAACAAATGCATAAAAAGTTAAATCCTAACAAAGAAGGACTAAGGGGTATATCTTAAGGTTTTCAAGATCGAGATCTTGATAATATTATAAGATCCTAAGGTCCTATAAGCCAAAAAGCAACATGAATCCCAATAGGATCGTGTTGTAGCAAAATCGTTGATACAAGTGTAGAACAATCCTATATCACTGTTTTTTTTAAATGGTCTTTAATGTTTAAAAGTGTAAATTCTAAATTATTACCAAACACTAGAAAAAATGAGCTTACATATTAGTTCAATGATTCAATGTATAATCTTAAAATTTTTCTCTTTTCTACTCAAAATCGAACCTGAAAATTTGTCCCTTGAGCTCGAAACTGAACATGGCATATCGCATGAAGCCACATACAAAATCGCAACTTGGTGCGTTGTTATTTGTTTGGTTAATGACTTTAAAATTTTCGACAAATATAAGATTTTTTTAGTTAATTCTTTTTGTTAAATGATTAATATGGTTAATGACTTTGGAGGTTGCCTCTTAATGGAGGTTAGTTAATACTTTTGTTTATCAAATTTGACAAATCAAACGCTCTTAATGATTGAACTATTTGTCAAATTTAAGCCTCTAGTTCGAAACCATATTAACCATTTAACTAAAAACGAGTCAGAACCATCGAGTTATGCAAGAGTTCTCTTCATACCCACAAAACCAATTTCTTTCTTTCTTTTCTATTTTCTTTCATGTGCCTTTACACCTCCAAACACTCATTCATGCCACCATCCTTCCCCAACCACCCTGCCCTCGTCGTCTTCCTCCTTCCTTGAAGCCACCACTACTGCAACCGTCTTCCTCAAAACAATGATGTTGCTTAAATCGTTTACCATCGTTGATTTTTTTTAAACATTTTGCTGAAATCGGTCTCAGACAACAATTCTACAATCTACGACTCAATTCATCGATTGTACCCTAAAATCATATTGGTTCTAGGGTTTTGTGTTTGTTTTCTTCCCATCCCGGTAATTAATTGTCCTTGTATGGTTTATCTCGTTTACTCTGGATGTGTTCTATATTGCATTCACAGTAATATATCTCGTAAAATCGTAGGCTTTGTGGTGTCCGGCTCTTAAATTGTGAAAAATATTTATTCATTCATATGATTTGGATATGTGTTGATTTGTTTGTCGATGTAATTATGCTTGCGCTACTAACGGGTTTTTGCAGATGATGTAGTTTTTATTCTTAGCTTGTGTTATGGTGCTCATCTGTTCTAATTTATAATTTATTCACGTTAGCAACAAAAAGACAAGAACTAAGTTGTCAAGTTTTGCAACAAGAGTTTCACCACTTATTGGTATTAGGCTATTAGCTAATAGGCATGGCATAAGCTTCTACTGGAAGACAATTAGGCTATTAGCTAATAGGCATGGCATAAGCTTCTACTGGAAGACAATTTGAAGTGGTAGCTTCATTTGTTTAATTAGCAATTTCATTTACTTTATTTTAAGGATTTTATTTGATGTTGTTCTGCAATTTTAAACAAAAAGGCAAAACAATTTTTTTTCTCGTTCAACAACATTATCATATATGTTTTAAATTAGAGACAAACTCGATCAAAGCTTTTGAATCAAATATAAATCACTCAAGAGACATTCATTCAAAGATTGAGAACCATCCAGGTTTAACATTTCAAAGGCTACAAAACAACCCAATAGTTTAAATCTAAAGTTTTATATAATAAGTTTAAACTTGCAACTATTCCATATTAAATAGTGTACTTTCTAATTTGACTTTCCAATGACATTTTTGCAAAATGAAAAACAATCATAGATAACATCCTGCTCTTTACAGCCTTAGTTTAAACTGTGTGTTAGTTTTGTGGGATTTGGAATTTGAGAAAAATAAAATTTGAAAACTTAGGAATTTGCCCAAAACTTTCATCTCATGTATGAAGGTCTGAAACGGTTCAGACCATCCCAACCCCAATCTCAACTATCGACCAGTACTAAAGTTAGCAACAAACCGAACTTTTAAAAGCATCATTCTCTTTCAATAAACAACAGAATCAAATATCTCTCAAATGACAAACTGAACTTGGTTCTTAAACCATAATTAACCAAAAACATTGCGTCCAAAATCCCAAAACAGAAATTTAAAACTAAGAAAAAACCAGACATTATCACAATGTAATAATAACAACCCTTTAAACCCATCATCATCATTAACGGTATCGACGAAGTGAAAGAGTGTTGTTCCTTTTCCATGTTGCTCTCCTAGAAGGACGTGCCTTATGGTTCAAGTGTCCCTTGCCACGTAGACCTCTGTATTTCTTTCCTGCTGATGTCAGCCCACGAAGCTCTCTGTGCTTGTGAACCGGGTTACAGATCCAGTTGATCCGTGGGTCATTGCGGATAGCTGCATGGGCCGGATCCACCAAGATCACCTCAAAGTACTTGTAGGTAGAGTCCTACAAAAAATGTTCAAAAAACATTTCAGAAATTTTTCACAATATGTATTCATTTTAACATGGGAAGAAGAAAAAGAAAGACAAACAGATAAAAGATTAGTGTCTTAATACATTAAGACAAGTCTTCTGGCTTAACCAATTAAAATCATGAAGTTAAAACGAAACAGCTTAATTGTACAGATTGAGTACATAACCCATTAAGGTCATTAAGTAACAAAGAAACAACCATTGACGAATTTGGCATACCTCATTGAGCCAGTAAGAGTTGAGAACCTTAAGGCCACCTAATTTTCTTCCAGCTCGCTCTTCAGCAACAGATCTCTTGCTACGTTGGAACTTGAGTTGGGTGACTCCCTGGTTTGTGGGCTTTCCATAGACAATACCTTTGGGAACTGGCCTCTTCCTTCCACCACGCCTCACACGAACACGATAGATCACATAGCCCTACAAATACAATCATTTTGATTAATTCAGAGATTGGATTTCAATCATTTTGGCCAACCTTAATAAACCTAAGTATTGTTTGATTGATATGATTATATGAATACATTTCCGTTTGTGTAAGCTTACAAGTTCACAAACAAGCAATTGGGGAAAAAACGAAGAAATATACCTGCTTGGCTTTGTAACCCATACGACGAGCCTTATCGGGTCGGGTAGGATGAGTGACACGGACAATGGAAGGAAGCTGGCGATATTCCCAGCACCTCACCCGCTGCATAAATCTCATCACATCCGATTGCTTCTTCCTCCATAGCTCCGAAACATAAGTGTAAGCACCTGTTAGAACCACCAAAAGCACACGACGTTTCAACTAATTAAAACCTCGTCATCCCCATTCAACCAAGGAAAACAGATTATATAAACCATGGATTTGCAGAATCAGAGATCACGGAAGGAAGCCATACCCATTGTTGCGCTCTCTCCTGCCTATGAACCGCACAGCGACGGTGAAAGAGTGAATCTATGGATTAGGGTTTTAGAACATATAACATTATAACCTTATAAGGATTTCATTGGGCTCGGTCTCATATGTAACTATTGGGCCTAGACGATTTTTCTTTTTCATAAAAACATTTTAGGATCAACTAGGTGTGAATGCGATGTAATACATTGATTTTAAAAAAAAATGATATACGAATATATAAACTTTAAATATTTTAAAAAAAAAAAGATTAAATATCAATAAAAAACAACAAAGTATGATTTTTTTTATATAGACCATTTTGCCTAAAATTACAATGAACTTAAAAAACGTCAATTTTGAATTATATATATTGAAAGAAACATATTAAAATTTGAAAATATAGGGAAACAAATTAATGACACATTAATTACTTTTTATAACCTAAAAATTAAATAGTTAATTAATAAAATCAAAAATTACCACAAAATGACAAGTAGAAATTAATTTCTAAGAATTAACCACAAAATTACATGTGTCCAAATGCATAAGAAATTGACAAGTGGCAAAAAGTTCTTTATTTATTAGGAAGGATTAGAAAACGAATATGTGGGAAAATAATAGAAATTCATATTGGACATGTTTTTTCGAACAATTTTATTATTTTACATGTTTTTTCGAACTATTTTATTATTTTTTACTTCTAAATAGTCTTTTGAGTACTAGCAATGATGATATTTAAATTCAAAAATCAATTGACATTTAACACAATTGACACAACTAAGTCTATATAATATATGCAAAATGTAACATTATAGTTTTAATGTGAAATCTTTCATCATTGAACAAACCTAATTAAGAAACATATCTACTAAAAGTTATTTGGTGCAAGACTTTGGTTGATTTCAAAGATTGTACAATAGTTGTAATTGTCACGTAGAAAGTTTATGCTTGAATAGAAGAGAATATGAGACTCCACGTATCATATGATGTTTGATACCAAAAAGTTTAAATATGTGGTTTCAGTGTTTCAAGAAAGAAAGCATAAAAAAAAGAGCATCGTTGTATTTATTGTCAGGTCCAATCAATGAAGATTTTCTTAAAGTGGAAATTGTATGTTATATATGTTTAAAGACATCACTGGCCTAATAGAGTCTAGCTCAATTTTAATATAAACTCGTTATTAGAAAATGTTAAAATGTTCTACAATGTTATGAAAGAATCTATAATATCTCATAAGATACCATAAGATTTAAAATGTCCTAAAATACCCTGAAAGATTTTAGAACGATATAAACTTTCTAGGACATAGTGGAACATTTTTGAAACATGCAAAACCTTATGAATACTAATATAATGTGGTATAACATTCTAGAATTGTCTTTAATGTACTAAGTTGTTAAGGAAACCTAGAACCTTCCTACATGTAGGTGGGAGACACCTATAAATAGCTAAGGAGCTCATTTTCTTCAACATTTCGAAAAAAACAAAATATAATAGTGAGGCCATAGAGTATTTTTGTTTTGTAAGTCCTTAAAGACTTGATCCTATAATTTATTCTCAAGTTGTAATAAAAAAGTGTCAATATAATCTTACAAAAGAGTTGTGCTCAACAATTTGGTATAAATGTGAGGTTGTGAGTTAGGTTTTATGATATCTTTAAACTCTTAGTATGCTTTATGGTTGAAATTGTAACTGATCTTCCACATAAGAAACAATCTCCTTCTCGATACTTTATCGAAAATAAAAGCAATTACAAGGAAATAGGGAAAAACCTAAGAAAAAAACTAGACAAACTAAACGTCAAATAAAAACAACTATGCATAAATCTAGATATATACTTCCAACCAATCGAAACCCAAATCCAGTTCCAATGAATGGAATGAACCAAATGTAACACACTTTGAAGACTCTACCATTGTACTCTATGACAAGATTTTTGGTTCCTTTGCTTCTCAACTTCGATTAATTTGGCGGCCTTTTACTTCAAATTAATAACCCAAGCTTGATCAATAAACATTTTTCCATTTAGCTTATTCGGTTCAGTAATGATACATGAAACACCCACCCACACAAACCCTCTTCGCTTCCTTTACCAATAGTGCATCATCTTTTACACAAACGAATGTCATTTCTTTTACACAAACGAACGTCATTCCTTTAAGCCCAAAATGCATCTTTGTTCTTGTAACATCCAAAAATACGGTCCGAAAATTTCATTTTTAAATCATTGGTGAAAGCCATCATAATCAACCATTTCATATATAAACAAGACCGTTATATCAAATCAGAGTATAATCTCCAAAACTTATTCTTTTTATCAGAGTAAAACATCCCAGGCTAAACAACAATGGTATGCGCCATGCGATCACCCCGAGCTCCTTCCTCCGCTACCGGAAGTACTTGAAACCAAAACTGAAAACCGTAAGCACGAAGCTTAGTGTGACAACCCGAAATTTTCATTTGTATAAACTCCGCAGTCAAGCACGTCAAATAACGGTCAAATTCATCTCGGAACATTTTTGGCCGGTTTTAAGTCCGTTTGAGTATTTTTATTTTTAATTCGTAAAGCGAACAAATAAAATGAAGTATACTTTAGAGGTTGTCGTGCATCACGTAAATCTCAAAACTCCAAGAGTTTGGAGTTTACGGCCCCAAACATGGAGTTTATGGCCGTAAACTCTAAAGAGTATAAATATGACACTTAGTCATTTTTGACTCATTTTTCACTTCCTAGTTC